ATTCTTATAATCTCTACATATCCACATATAAAGTTAAAGTTAGTATTGAGAATCCCATATCGGTTAGGACACACTAGATATCAATATATAAGTGCATGGGTTACTTCCCGCTAATTAGTTTTGAGACGAAACTCCATGAACTTCTATTATCGTAGTTTAGTTTTGGACTCCAATCATCATTTCCTTTAACGAGTGGACGTATGCAGCATGGTTCATAAGGGGAATCAGAAAATGTAGTCCAGAGGATAGACTCTTTGGATACTTTCCAAAACGCCCAACAATATAAACATGCTGCTTAGTTTATTAAAAGCAACTTTATTCTTAAGAACTAATCGAGGTTGAAAGATTAGAACACACTAGAATTGATGGCTATGGTATTAAGTCTGGAAGAACAATCGAAAGATTTAAGGAAGAAAGATGATTGTAGAAATTTGGAAATCTCTCAGCTTAAAGATTAATTGTTAGAACTTAAGGTGGATGTTCGTAGTTCTGGTTAAGATGATTGAGTATGAGGCTTGCTGCTTGAGTTTAAAACTTGCATATACATATGTAATGTGCTTCCAGTGTAGGTTTCTTGAATTTTGTTCCATGAATTACATGTTCACGATTAGACCAACAAATATATGCCACAATATATGGCAAATTTCTAATATCTCTTTCTGTCTTTCTCTCACTCTCTTTATGGATGACAACTCTCTCTCTCTCTCTCTCTCTCTCTCTCTCTCTCTCTCTCTCTCTCTCCTTCAAGAGTTGTGTTGTGGCATGCATAACTAATTAGCAAGATGAAATGCCTGATTCTGCTATAGTTTTCTTCATGATTAAATATTAATCATTTACAATTGTTGAAATCAATATATATATATATATATATGACTAGTTTGGTCGAGTTCTTATATTGTACACCTTAGATCATGGTTTTAGGTGAATTGATTTTTTTAATTACAATCACTTATATAAATCTAATTTTAAAAAATAATTTAAAAAAATCTATAACTAACTACATTAAATACAGACTGAAAAAAGTCAGAAGTAAAGAAATAAAATCCAACTTTAATTCGGATTCTTCTCTTTAATTATAGCGATCAGTTGCTCACCGTAACATTCATTCTTGATACAATCAGAATTTGGCATTATGTAAGATATACACACATTTTGCACCGAATAATATAAATTTCATAATAAATTCTTTGAATGTTCATGAAAGTCAATAATAAATTGAGAATATTCAATCGCAGTAGTAATGTTTCATTCATATCTACTTTAAAGAATGTTTATCATTAAACAAAATTTAATACTACATGCACATTCACAATTTATGTTTAGTTCATAATTGAATTATGCAATGTTTGTACATCGCAATAAAATAATTAAACCTGGTCGTTTTATCTTTGGCCAGCCATTATCTTTTGAGAAGTTCAAACTCAATCAAAGAAAAAAATTTATGAATCATGAACACAGTTTTCATTATATATGTATGTAAAACTCATAATTAGTAACAAACAAAAATTATAATAGTCATACTACGTGACCTCAATAATCATGAAATTAATGTATAATTTTCATAACTAACAAACAAGTTGTTCATAAGAAGCAGGTATACTATGAGCAATGTGTCATAATATGATTATGATCATAAGTTATATTTTTTTTCAGCACAGTTCAAACATATATGCATTACAGTTACATTAAACATTGAAATAATTTGTTTTTCCAAATGGAACGTAATACTACACTTTCATGTCATTGTTCACCTAAAAATTTTGTCAACACGGTGTTGTTCTAAATATGAAATCTACAACAAAAAGTGAAATAAGCTCATATCTAATCCTCACCTCATATGGCTGCTGGTGCTGGATCTCGTGTTGCATCATGCCTAGACCTAGATTCAATAATCAAGGTGCCAATGAGTTCAAAAGCAAATGGTAAACATGACACATCAATACTGTAAGAATGGTGTCCGGGTCTACTCAAATTATATAGCAACGCGTATAGTCTAACCACTGCAACAATAGCATAGGCCACCAACCTCATACGGCCAATCATAGTAACTCCGGCCGTGGAACGTAAAAATGCAACTCTAATTTAAGATTTTATTTTTAGTATAATTTAAACTAAATATTGAAATTCAAACTAGATAAAAATTTCGGGACGAAACGAGTATAATTGTTACATTTAGTTTGTAGCTTATTTGAAATAAAACTAAATTTACGTACAAATTAAAAGGAAAATATCACATTTTAACCCCTAGGAGAAAAAAATTGTCCTATTAAGTTCCTTTCATTGGGGAAAAAAATTCCTCAAACATACCAAAGTTTCACAGTTTATAACTCCTTGGACGAACCAGATGGATGTCATCTGTGTCAAACCAAACGGATGTGACACTAACTTCAAATTGTCTTCAATGTCATACTATATTTTTATACTTTGATTTCTTTTATTTTTTATTTATTATTTTTTTTAAATCTTCACTTTACATATTAGCAGCTCAATCTCCATGGAAAATCATGTCACAACCAAAATCCCTTCTTTCCAAGATCTATCGTGCTAAGTACTGCATTAATGGTATTTTCCCTCCATCACAACCTCCATCCAAGGCTTCTTGGGGGTCTTAAGAGCATTCTATGAGGAGTTGAGTTGCTGAATACGAAGGTTAAATGGAGAGTAATTTCAGGTTCAGACATTGGTATCATGGAGGATTAGATACCAAATCAGAGGAATCCAATACAAAGAGACTCCATACTAGCCACGCATACCAGTTTCAGGGTTAAGGATTTCATCCTTCCCTTTGGGCAGTGGAATCAAAGTTTTCTTAGGAATATTTTCCATGATCATCTACTCCCACATATTACTAGCATAATCATAGATCCTCACAGAGCTCAGCAAAATGATCGTCTCATCTAGTTACATACGCCTCATGGATCATACTCAGTCAAAAATGGCTACCAAATAGCTATCAATAGACAACACCAACAGGGACATCTCCCACAGAATTCACCAGAAATTTAATTCTTGTTTGGAAAAAAATGTGGAATTCTTCTGTACAACCGAAGCAGAAAACACTCTTTTGGAGAGCTCTTCATGAGGCACTACCTACTTGACATCACCACTTAAAATCAGGGGAATTGATATTGATACAGTCTGTCCAAGATGCCATGCTTCAAAGGAAGATAGTTCACATCTCTTTCTCCAATGCAGTGCGTCCAAAGGCCAGCCTCAATCAACATCTTCGCTCAGAACACCCAAACCTCACTATTTCAAACTTTTGTACGTACAATGGATTCAGACGTCTCCTTCGAAAGAAGATGTCGATCTCTTTCTTATCATCACCTGGCATACCTGGATGGAAAGAAATAATAAAATTTGGCGACACCAGCCCTCTAAACTCTGTTGATTCTTTGCGTTTGATTTTAATGGATTTCAACAATCACAAACATCATCAAACTAAGAGGGATATCAACATCAGGTCCACGAGATCATCATCAAGATTGAGAGCCTCAGTCCTTACGGTTGGTGGATCATTCAATCCGGCAACCTCCAGGGAGGCGGAAACTTGTTTCTCCTTTTAATGTTGTCCTACATATTGGTTCGGCAAACATCCAAGCCACTTCTCCGGTGCAAGCGAAAACATCAACCTGTCTGTTGGCTCTCCAGCAAGCCTCCATCCTTGGAATTAATAGAGTTCTTTTCCACACGGACTGTGAATTTTTAACAAAAAATCTACAGGGATGACAAATTCCCTTAGAAGTACAAGACATAGTCCCGAGTCTACTTGCACTTATAAATACATTCGATTATGTGAACTGATTAAATTTAGTAGATCGGATGTTTCTGAAGTGCATAATATTACTTATTATAAAATGCAATATAACAATGTAGGGCTTTTATAATTTTAATATAAAAGCTCATTTTCCAACAACAAACGTCCGGCACCTCGTGTAAGAATCAATCATAAAATTAAAAAGAAAAACATTAAAAAGAAATATTTGACTTAGCGTGGATTTATTTATAGCATAGAGAATATTCCAAAGCGGAATTATATATATATATATATATATATATATATATTTACTCTCCAAATTGCTGTTGACGTCTTTGATACTTCAGCAAACACACAATTTTAGAAACACGATTTCATCTATTTGTTTTGTACAAAATTGATAAATTTCATTTTATTTTATCAGTATTTGATTGAATAAGTTGAAAACATATTATAGGTACGAAATTCTTCCCTTTCACTTCCAATTTGGCACCAGTTATTAGGTGAAGTGGATTGGATGGACGTTTGATAAAATGACAGGCTACAGATGCCAGATGCTTGATCTATGTGTATCCACCACCACTTAGTCGGTGATCGGTTCAGATTAAAAAATCGTCACCTTCTTAGTATTTATTGTAGTAATTGTAATTTTGTGAAAAATTAATTATTTTTAAAAAATTCATTCTTTCCATTTCATTTGAATGAATGAAAACGAAACTGACCAAATTTATAAACAAATCATTGTGGAATATCTTTGTGATTTTGTCACATGTTTTGAGCCATTCTGGCTTCATCAAAACGCGTGATTGCCCCCCACCCATATCACTCGCGTAAATCACCCGACTAACAATTAGCATAGTTTAATGTTAAAAGTTACATTTATAAATGATGAAAGATTACAAAAGCTACTTACAATTTGAAAATAAAGTCATTTTTCCTTTTGCGAGACCTAATTACTGAAGGAAAAAAAAAAAAGAAGAAGCAAAATGGGTCCATTTTAAAATGCACGTCGTTTTAAATTTGATTTTTTTTAAAAAAATATAAGTCGTTTTAGCATTTCAAGACAAATTAGTGATGACTTCTCTAACTTTAAATTTAATAAGTGATGTCAATCTATTTTTATTTCATCTTTTTTATAATTCTGATATAATTAATGAGGGATAAAATAAATATTTGATACAGAAATTAGTTGTTGAATAGTTATCTCCTTAATTAAGTGACTTATATTTTGAAATGTAAGGAGTATTTGATTACCATAATATGTGACGAACTTACTATACATATGCAATATATTAATTACTATATTGATTTTATTTTTAAGACACAAATCAATATTATTACAATTAGTTCAAATTTATTCGGACCAAAAGAATATTTGTTTTATTTTTTTTACAATGGAAGATTTTGTGCATTTTTACCTTTTTTTTTCGGAACAAAGTCAAAATTGTAATATCATTATCCTATTTGCTTTTTTTGTTTTCATTTTTTTCCTTTTTCCGAGGGAAAAGAAACGTAAGTATATCATAGTTTTTGGCCAAATTCAAAGTATCTCTCCTACTCGCAGTCTGTGCAGACCGCCACTTGCAGCTGTGGGTTTCCTAATGCTTTCCATTTTCCGGAGTATTCTATAATCTCTGTCACCTTCCTTCCTTTCATTCGCTTCTTCCCACCGCTTCCTCCTCCCTATTTAAGTTATCCCTTCTGTAATTTTACAGACTTTTCCCCACACAAAGATTCTTTTTTTACAATCTTCGATGAGTTCTACACCCACCGCCGCCGGCGCCGGCGCCGAGACGGATCGATTAACGCCGCCGAGGCTAGAAGATCTGGCGCGGCGGACCGCCAGGACTTTACTCCTCCCTTACATCATCAACTACGCCGCCACCCACGGCCCATCCGATGAACCCCGGGAGGTCGCCGTCATCGTCAACCCCCGGACGGGATCGCTGACGATGATCGACGGCGATCTCGATGGGTCTCCTCTGTCGGGTAAGGAAGGGCTTGTGCCGGCCTCCAAGGAATCGATTGATTCCCTGCCGGCGATTGAAGTCGGCGAAGAGGGTTTCGATTGCGCGATTTGTTTGTCGGAGTTTGAAATCGGAGAGGAGGCTAAGCAAATGCCTTGTAAGCACAAGTACCATCCGGGTTGTATTGAGAAATGGTTGGGGATCCAAGGATCTTGCCCGGTTTGTAGGTTTAGGATGCCCAAGGAGGAAAACGAAGAGGAAGAGGATAAGGAAGGTGAAGATGTTAACGTTAACGTGGAGGCGGAGGAAGAAGAAGAGGCGGGGGAGGAGGAGGAGGAGGACGGCGGGGAAGGGGAGATGGAGGAGGAGGAGGAAGACTCGCCGGAGGAAAGGGAAAGATTCTTAGCGTTGAATCGGATACCGACTTTTGTGTTTCACATCTATTTTGCGGGGCGAACCCGACCCTTAAGGAATCCGGGTGGGCGGTCCCGTCAAGCAAATGTTGATAATGGTGGTATGCAGGAAAACGAAACAATTGAGGACGATGGATCCGAGGCAAGTGAATCCGGTGGGGAAGAAGAAGAAGAAGAAGAAGAAGGAGATGGATATGGGTCAGCAGCTGAGGACATGGATGTGGATGTCGGGTCAATGGATATGGATGTTGATAGAATTGCTTAAGTCTTAGGTTTTTTCTAATTGTTTAAAAAATTAGTTTTGTCCCGAATTTTCATAATCTACTTGTGCTCAATGTTCGGTGTATATATATATCATTTAGGCATTAGAGAAATCAAATTTAATTTATACTATATTTTTTTTTTTGGTAGGATAATTGGTTTTTGGCCTTTGAAATTTGAATTGTTGTAGTAAATCTTTGGATATATAATTTTTGGGAGGGAAATTGTTTTTTATTCCCCGAGCTTTGTTTCAATGAATTTGCAAATAAATGGGGGAGAAAATATCTACGGGTACATTCATACAACATGGACGTGACTGAATATTTGAGCAAAAAAGGTTTCAAAATTTTCAAGAGAGAACCCAAATTTATTACTAGTATTTTTTTTCCCCCCCTCAGAAAATACGCGCAATTATGCTTTAAGCATAAAATAGTTTAAGGAACTGTTGGACAAGATAAGATGAAGTTATGGGTGGAAGAGGGTTATGTATGAATTGGGGGGGTGGTTCAAATTTCATGCTGCTAAGTCGTCAACCAATTTTCCCGTGTTTCAGCAATAAAACGTGCATATGTCGACAACCAAAATGAATATGTTTATCGCCTCTTTTTGGCTTTGACCACTTTCTGTTCTCATTTTGAGATCAATAGTTAGATTGGGTTTGGGTGATTCATCTCGTTTTCACATCAATATATACTCATAAGTCATATATGAGGATCCAAGGGACTAAAGAGAACTAATCATAATTTACTCGAGTGATCAACATTCAACATCTTTTTAACGTTCTCAAGTACTCCTTCTGTCCTAAAATTATTGTCCAGTTTGAGATTTCATTTTAATATAATTTGAACTAGAAATAAAAATCTAAATTAGACAATAATTATGAGACGGAAGGAGTAATTTAGAATTCGATTCTTACATCGCTAAAGTTCATCCCTAAGTGCTTGAAGCCTTGAACGCATGGTGTGTTGTGTAGTTCATGCTTTGGCTCATACGGCCAGCTTCACATCGATTGTTCTGTTCTTGTTATTAGACACTGAAATCCAAATGTCAAGTGATCCTACACACTACGGCACAAGTGACTCTATAAACAATGCAGATTCCCTTATGGCATCACAAAGTATGAAAACATATTTTGAGGAAACGATCAAACTAGGAAAATGAGGGAGAACTTACTAGGACTGTATCACAAAAGTACAAAGCATCACCCAAATGAATAACACCAAACAATGCTTCTTGTTTGAATGCTCCATAGGGTATTCAGCCAATGCTTTGAATACAATCACAAGGCGATATAGGATACATCACCTATCTATGCACATTATGGAAAAATACGGCATCATTGTTTTTGCGCATGATGCTAGTTTTCCACAAAGCATTCATCCAGAACAAAAAGTAGGGTTCAATGTGTTTCTTTTGAAGTCATCATACTCCAACCAAAAAAAGAAATGACATATGATAGATATAGGAAAGATGCACTTTAGCATAGTAACTTCAATTGCTTGGACACGCTTAAAACCTTTAGGTAGGAAACTTTCATCAGTAAACAAAGGATTTCTCATCAATTGGGAACTCAAACTCAGTCAAGCAACTGGTTTCTGGATTCTCGAAAGAACTCCACTCTACCAACCAACGGAAGCATCTGTTTTTGTTAAACAGTGTGAGTATAAGCCTCACCAGTTACAATAAGCTACTATGGTTTAGATTTTATCAGTAAGCTTGATAAACTTTCAGTGTACAATCACTTATAACTTATCAGAGTCCTGGACCACCATAGTTGTAATGATTGGAAATAAAATGTAACAAGAAAAGGAGGGCCTCTTGATCTCCCCTTGCAAAACAATCCCAATTTGGAAGACATCATTACTACTTCATTATCGTGCACTGGAAATGGATTAGACATACTCATTAAATATAAGTTCAGCAGAAAGTAGATAACTACAGGTGATGGAAACTAATTCCTTAGACAGGTATATAGATTATAGAAGGTAAAAGTTAAGATCAGACCCCATAATCTAGAGTCTAGACTACTTTCTAGAAAATCGAACAATAAAAAACTGCAGACAAACACAAAGTCTGTGACAGATTAAATCAAAGGAATGCAGAAGAACTAAATTTGATTTAAGTGTCAAAGTAGGAAAACTGCGGAAAAAAAGGAAGTATCAAATGGAACAAGTTCTGCAAGGGTGATGCAATGGATGGGATCCTTTTAATGTGATAATAATATCCAGGAAAAAGAAAAGAGAAATCACAGTTCATTTTCGAATGTGGATTGTTTGCAACAGCAACTTCCTTAACATCAACTGTTCTAAACAAGTTATTCCCAGGCATAAAGCAGATAACAAGCACCAATGAGATATATCCAACGTCAACATGAATGTCCCAAAAAAGCTAAATCCCAAAGCAACTTATAAGAAGTGTTCTTTTATCAGTATAAACAAATATAAATATAACAATCATGAGCATTATTCCGATAAATTTATTCTGTGATTTTGCAGTTTCAGAAAGATATACATAGAGGGCTTACTCTCATCTCATTTCTGTAAGTGTGGATTAAAATATACTGAATAAGATTAATGCATCTTTCTCGTATGCAATGCTACTACTTTTTAACCTTTCGAGACTTCTTCGGCCCAGGAACTTCCATACTGCCAATGGAGCATCCACATCTAGCCCTGAAAACCAAAACAGCTCTTCCATTCGGTGGAGCCATCTTCTTGAGCTCTGCTTCAAGTTCTCTGTGATGATCACGAGGCAACTGAAACAGACCCTGCTTCACCCCTAATTTAGGTACACCAATTGAGCTCTTCACACACTCTTCTGTTTCTAATTGTATATCAAATTCAGCTGCCTTACTAAGCCCACGACAACCAGGTTTCCCACAGGTCCTACTAGTATAGATTGTGATTGCCAAAAGTGCTAACAGAGCAAATACAAGGCTAAGGCCAAAACATCCATAAACCATCGGGGCCCGGAAAATCTCATCTTGAAGAATATAAGCTGCTTCCTCAACAAATTCAGCACTGTTATGCGCTAAACTCCTCACGCACGGATACAACAAAAATCCACAAGCACCAATCACAGCAATCAAGATGATCACATCGATGACTGCGAACCGAGATTGTTCGCAAGCTGGGATGTTCAGCTGATTCTTCTTCTTGTGTGGTTGATTGATTTGCTTGGGTTTCAAAACAGAATCGGTTGAGTTGCCACCAGATTTAGCCATGGCTATATGTTGGTCAACCGGAATTGAGCTATGGAAACAGACCATTTGGATTTGGGAAGAAACAAAAACAAATAAGAATCGATTCAAAGATTGAATCTTTTTTCAATTGAAACACAAAAATCACCAATCCAATCACAAATTTTGGATCAGACCCAGAATTCCTACATCAATTTCCCGATTAACCCGATTGAAGATTTGGGATAAAAAGATTGAATTTGTTGCTTAACTGGACCTGAAAGATCTGGAATTTGTCGGCGACCCACAGGCCTTTTTTTTTTTTTTCCTAGGTGAAATTTCCTTCGTTTTAACAAACACCCTGTTTTCAGCCAGGCACCATTATGTGAGTGATGGAATTAAAGGTTGAGATTCCTAAGCTGAAAAGGTCGTTATATTTGGGGATCAGGCAAAGAGGAAAGAAGAGATTTTTGGAAAACTTGGCCGGCTCTTCGAGAGACGCTTAAGATGGCAGAGACGACAAGGAAGAGTCACAGTCATTATGGAGTCATTTGGTCCATATTACGCGCTATAATTTACTGCCTTCTACTATTAGTAATTTGAATCAGTTTTACTCTTGCAATTTAGCAAAAACCCAATCCATATTTCCAGTTGAAATGAATGGTTGTTAAGACACTTGGAACGTCGGACAGTTAAACACGTTTGGAATATTTTCCCAATTTTTGTTTACATTTTTTGATGGGGTTTTGGTTGTCATTTGTGAATTGTGATTGCAATTGGGGCCATACGTCATTAAAACCTTTTTTTGGAGTATTATTTCAGCATCATTTCTGCATTATTGTTTTTTTCTGGTGAAAAAAAATTGGGGGAAGACATTTTTTTTTGGGATATTCACATCACTCAACCACGTTTATTGGGCCTACATTAGAACAAAAGTAAAGTAGTTAAACCAGTTCCGTCTTGGAAATTAACCTTAGATTATTCTAATGCAAAGTTTAAGAATATGCCAATTTTCTGAATCTGAGTTAATACTAAAGTAGTAGTGGTAGCATTAAACTGAACAGAACAAATGACCCGCACTAAGTTGTGTTACCTCACTTAAGAATCTTTCAGAAAACTGATTTCGTGTCACTTATAACTAAATGAGCCCATAATGGCGTGAAGCGGAAGACTGGTGAAAGTCTTTCTGTGGCGCACGCTTCTAACTAGTGAAAGAGAAACTGCTACAATTTGCCCGAGATATTGGTCTTGTAGTTTACCAATTCCACCATTATAGACGAACGGATAATTGTCTAAACGGTCCAAATTTGGAAATTTTTTTGCTAGGGGTATTGAAAAGATTGAAATTATTAAAAAGGAACATACCCTTATAAAAAGACTTATTTAATCAAATTAATACTCCATCTGTCCCAAAATTATTGTCTATTTTTGAGATTTTACATCTTAATATAATTTGAACTAAAAATGAAAAATTATTGTCCAGTGTGAGATTTTACATCTTAGTATAATTTGAACTAAAAATGAAAATTCAAACTGAACAATAATTTCGAGACGGAAGGAGTATTTTTTTCACTCATCAAATTACTATCATATCCTTTATTTTTGTTATACCCTAACATTTAACAATGTTTTCATCTCTTCGATTATATGGAGTGGAACCGCCTCCAACGCTGAATATATTCATGGGATTTTAGCTAGTCATTCAATTCATATATGCTACTCAGTCACATAAGTTCTATGCGAGTTTTGATTCAAATAAGAAGAAACATGCTTCCACGAAAACCTACATCTCGGCCTCATTTCTTGATTCCCATACTTCTGCCAATAAAACATTTTTTTTCCCTTGTGTTGATCAGCTGCAACCTCGAAAGCTATCAAAATGATTGACAATTAATTTAGGCCCCAAATAATTAATGATACATTAATTTGATATAAAGGGATCTTTTTACTTCTCACGGAATCATTTGATTATTCTTATAAAAAATAGGTACAAACTTTTTATATAATCGAAAGGATGTATTGGGAAACTATGAATATTTCCTTATGATGTTCAAGTCATCATTTGCGATTTCTTTCATGTTCGTGAATCGTGAACAAAGGTCAGTACATACTAAATGCAACCAATAATGAAGTGAAGACAGTGTCCAATGAGCCATGGAATAAATTAGCCTGGATGAAGAAGAAAGAAGCGGTTCTACTTAGGAAAAGGATTAAAAAAAAAGTAATTTACTAGATGAAAAGAATATTAAAACTAATTAAATATATTTAATAATGACTAAATAAATGTCACGCCCTTCTCAATAATTTACACCTTTCGAACGCCCTTAATCAAAATTTTCCCTTTAAATTTTACTAACAATTACTAAAAAAAATAACAAGTGCAAAATGAAAGAATATAACACTCAAGGTGATTAATTTATTTTTCTGGTAAATTACGTACTCACTATTTGAAGTCATTGCTCCGATTAATCGGAATTATAGTTAAGTAGGTCTTTTTCAAAATGATAAAACTCTCCTAATAAATATTTTATTCACATCAGCCCGAGTTTGGTCCTGGTTCATAATTTTACTGGTCCAATACATTTACCATTTTGACCAAGTGTTGTTGATAAGGTGATTATAGCTTTTGATTAGGCAATCCTACTTAAAAAAGTAATCCTCTCGTATTCAAGACATCGGAGTATTTGTTGCGAAAATATATAGAAAAATACACCACGTCAATCATGATACACATGAATGGAGGTTAAACTAAAAAAAAAAAAAAGGGGATCTTTCACCCTCACTAACACACAACCTTCCAAATTATCAAACGTTAAATTCCACAGCCACTGAATGAGTCAACGACCACCAGAAAGGAACGAGTCTTCCACGAAGGTTAACGGAGTGGAAGATGTCTTGCCCAACGACGAAGGAGAATTAATCAATTTCGCCATTGAAACATCTTCAAAACCTTTACCATAAGCAATCATAATGTCACTTGCAGAAAGCCCCGTGGATGACAATTCAGGCAGAGGCAACGAGTCGTTCAAATACATCATTACTTTCTGCATACAAGGCCTAGCCTTCGGGTCAGGATGAGTACACAACAACCCAAGCTTCAACACCAATTCTACCTCATCCTTCACCATTTCATCGTTACCTAATTTCTGATCAACTGCCTCAACAATTCTCCCATCGTTCCAAAACGAAAACACCCATTCCACCGAATGCATATCTTCTCCGGGTCCTATTTCCTCCACCGGCCTTTTCCCGCAAACAACTTCAAACAGAAAGATCCCAAATGCATAAACATCCGAACTCGTTGTGGCTCGCCCTGTTTTGTAATACTCTGGAGCTAAGTATCCGACGGTACCGACAACTTTTGTAGTTTGAGGATCATTTCCACGTTCATATAATCTCGCTAGCCCGAAATCTCCTAGTCTTCCATTGAATTCGCCGTCTAGTAAAACGTTACTAGATTTAACATCCCTGTGGACTACAATTTGTTCCCATCCTTCATGAAGGTAGAACAATCCTGATGCAACTCCTTTGATGATTTGCAATCTGTGTGACCAATTCAGGCGGAATTTCGGTTGGCCGTAAAGCAATCTGTCTAAACTACCATTCGGCATGTACTCATAAACCAACAGCAACTCGCCTTTACGGCGGGTGTAACCCAAAAGAGGAACTAAATTCCGGTGGCTCATCCGACCAATGCTGACAATTTCGGCCACGAATTCCCTAATCCCCTGTTTGGATTCGTGGGAAATCTTCTTCACTGCAATTTGTTGTTTCGGGGATCCTAATACCCCCTTGTAAACTTTTCCAAATCCTCCGGAACCTAAAAGCTCTGTGTCCTTGAACCCTTTTGTGGCGATGTACAGATCTTTGTACTTGAACCTGTGAGGTCCATACGCCATTTCCCAATCTTCAAGCAGTTCTGCATACTTCCTCTGTTTTCTTATGTAACGAATCAAAACTAAAACTGCTGCTAAAATTGTCAGTAAGCAAATCAGAGGCAACCCAATTGTGAAAAATATGGGTACCTTCTTAGGTTCAAGTGAAGGAAGTTTTGGAAGTTTTGAGAGATCAAGTCCCTGATCCGCCCCTCCGTTCATCGTGAAGCTCCATCCTAATATATAATGCCTAACAACAAACGGACCGCTGGCTGCTGAGAATCCGACGTACATACTCTGCTGTAGAACAGGGGACAAGTTGTATTTCAGGTTTATCAGAGGAAATCTTGGTTTACCAGGAGCTTTCAATGGAGCTAATGTAACCTGAATTTCCTTCTTTGTACCATCGTAATCCACCCAAACTTGAATTGGGTCGCCGCTGATAAGCGTCAGGTTTCGGAACGTGCCGTTGTTACGATCGTCGGGGTAATAGCCAGCCGGAATCTGCAGGACGGAATCGATGGATTCAATGTCCACAGCCACATGGTTGTTATCCAAGTCAGGAGTGTTGGGATTCTGGAATGTATCAAGCTCGACTCCGACGAGATGCCTGTTTGATTCACCGGCGTCGGAGCTCAGGTTGAAGACGCCGAGCGATCCCATTTGCCGGCCACCGGGAAGATTTTTCGTCGGCGAAATGAAGAAAGCTAATCCTTCAGCACTCACAGCACTGAATTCGGACCTTATAGCAAACACAAACGTGGTGGAGAAAGAGAAAACTTCACCTTTAGTTGAATTCTTGAAGGAAATGAGTTCAGGGTAAAAGGCATGACCGGAGGAATCGTGAGTGCCATTGGATAGCATCAGCAGGCCGTTGTCTGTGAGCTCTGCTATGCCATCAAGACTCAGATTCGCTGATCGGAATCCCTCATAGATGAACCCTGAACCGCCATTACTCAAATCAGCAAAACAAATTGGAATTCCATTGTAGACTGCAACTAAGATAAGGAATTTGAAAAACAAAGCCGCCATAAACTCACGCATGGTGAGAAATGACAAATTATATGATCAGTGAGATGGTTTGTTCTGTCTCAGTCACTTGCCATTTAGGAATGTTGTATAAGAATATGTCTATATTTATTATTGTGTTTTTGGAATTTGAATGTGTCAGAACTCAGAATACCTCGTTTCTAGAAACTTGAAGACCTAGCTTTAAGTCCAAAAGAACACTCAAAATGTCTAATACTCTCACCTCTTTTATCCTACACCAATAATTATACATTGGAATAATCAATTTCAGGGTCTTAATCAATCAGGGCTAATGGATGTTAGATAGAAAAAAGAAAAATGTAAAGTAAAGGGGAGACTGATTTGGAGTAGAATTAAGGAGTCAATAAAGGAGCAATCTTTTGTCTTCCATTACCTTTCAAAAAATCCTCGTTCGGTGCCAACAAAAGGCAGAAGAAACAGAGCTTTGTCTACGTTTTAATGACGTTTGTTCCACCAAATGAAACTAAAAACTTTGATTTTGCAATCTACTTTCTTCTACTTAGAAGTTCGAAGTATCAGCTAACTGTTTTGCTTTCCGACATCGTCAAATTCATACTTACTCAGCATTATGTATTGCTTAGAATATCCAAACAATACTAGAACAATATTAGCATCAACGATTTACTAAATCTTTGAAATTTTAATCGATGCATACCTAAATTATGCACTCTTTCAGTCCTCGAAAATGGTATTGTTCGCTCCGCTATTTAGAGTTCTAATTACTACTTAATTTAGGTGCAACGTTAGTGTGATGTTAAAACTCGTGTGTGACTCGTTAGAGCTTCCTTTTTTCTTTTCTTTTTTTTTTTTTTTAATTGAATTAGCATTGCGAACAATAAATTACTGGTCTCGTGCACCATGCAAAACATTCATTTGTTTTGATGATGCAAAAGCTATCAATCCCACTAATTCTCAAGTTTAAAGATATTTTTCATGTCATAGTAAAAAGAAGGATGTACGACTCCAAGTCAAACAAGTCTTCATATGGGGCATACGCGTTTTCTAATTTCCATGACATGAAATAGACCTCTTTGCACTTAGCCACTCGCTAATTAACTCATTAACAATTAAACCCTACAGTTGATAAAGCTTCTAACCTAGTGGTTTTTAGTTGTAGTTGGTAATTTTTTTAAAAAAGGGAATCAATCCACCATTAAAGTATGAAAGGGAAAACCTATGGGTATCTGCTTTGGAGTTTTCTCCCATGGCCCCCAGATTTGTTGAAAATTTTGTCAAGGAGCTTTGATTAGATTGATGAACAGTTTGGTAGGTATATTCATACGTTTCTAGAGAGGCAGTTTTGGATGAATCAAAGGATCCGCAAGCTATAGATAATCATTATTTGATCCTTCGCAGAAAAAAGGATACTTGCGTCACTTTTTTTCTCTTTTTTTTTTTTCAAGGTAACGAGGGCAGTACCTTGCAGGCCGAGAATCCCCAATTTTATTGATTTAAAAAAAAAAAATACAAAGAGAAATGCTTAAGATTTACTTAAAAGAAAAAATTGTCGTACAAAAATTTTCTAAAAATCCCATGACGGTTCTAATACAAACTAAATCTAAAAAACTGTCTTATAAAGATTGTTCCAAGAATCCTATGATAATTCTGATATATTTGCTATTAATAATTAGTCTAAGAGACTGTTTTACAAGTATTTTATAAGAATCCTACAACATCTCTTTGTTTTTTAAAAATAAATAGAAAGTCTAACTATTATAACAAAACCTATATTAGAAGCTTACTTCGAAACAATTTTCATCTTATGCGCAAGTTTAATCAAGGATCAACAAATCTCGAGTAAGCAGGGATTTGTCATGTGTTTTGTGGAATAAGTAACACACATTTTCACCTTTTTTGTTTTTTTTTTCTTTTTTTTAACGTGATTCAGATTTCAAATATTGTAGAATATGTATTCTCTCTATTCCTTATTATATTTGCTCTAAATTTAATCTAATATGTTATTTCAATTGAAAATAAAATCTTAAAAATATTTTATAATATAAATGAAAAAACACGATAAATACAACAATATTTTTAATTAAGGTAACACATATTAGGTGAGACTTACTTTGCATCTGGTTATGGTTCAAAAAATTGTGAATCCTCACTTGTTGATTATTCACATCCTCGAAATTGTTCATTTGTGGCCATTTACATCTAAACTAGATTTATCGTTGCGCGATCAGTGTTTTTCACAATTTTTTTAATTCATTCTTGTTCGAGACTTATTGCAGTCAATGCATAGTTACATATATTGTTGATGAGAATGCGTAAATTTAAATTTTTTTTTCTAATGTTATGGAGTCAAATTACCATTATCTGCAATTTAAATTATGTTTTTATTTCCGTATGTATGTATCGAACGCTTTTTTTTAAGTGTTCTTTTGTTAGGGTTCCTAACCTAAATTAGAATTTGGTAGAATGTATGGATGTTTTGGATTTCTTGGGGGAAATACCTCATAGATTGCAAGAATTTGTCAAAATTTAGGAGTTCATTTTAAGAAAGAAAAGACCACGATAGTCCTTGCAAGTCTGGAAGTGCCAATCACGAGTTGAAATAGAGAGGATAGCATATATATCAAGTCATTCAAATGGTGAAGTGTGTAGAAGCGATCTCTCGTAACAACAAAAGTGCACAAACCACAAATCTAAAAAAAGCCAAATCGTAATAATTCTAGTGCACCAAAAAATAATAAATATGCAACAAAAATGAAAATAAAAGAGTGGGTTGTGTGCAAACTAATAAAGTGACCACAAAAACATTAAAGAATTTTCAACCTGTAATTTTGTCATTTTCTGCAAAACCAGAATCCTCGGAACTGCTTTAAAAAATATCAGATGCCGTTAGTTCAGAAGAATCTCGTACTTCACCTTAACTGGAATCAAGGGAATTTCTAACTAATTTTCATAAAAAACAGGCGAGACTCTCGTGGACTGAGAATGAAGAACAAAGCGATTGACATGACTGTTTGATTCAACTGGTAAGTAAGCACATCTACTTCTCTCAGCTCGGCAGAGTGCACTTTGCTTCAATATGCCTGTTAAAATATAAGAATGCAAATTTTCCTTAAATGCATTATTATCAGACTTCTACAGTATTTTAATGAGAACTTCACCTATTTACAAGCATTTATTGAGAACATAGCTACAATTCTCTGCGGTGCTTTCCATTGTCATATTTGTACTTGTGTGGAAAAATGTTGTCAAATGCAACATCTTTCAGTACTATTCGAGGAAAGGAAACATGCACATCTATAGCTGTAAATAGAGCTCATTATAGGGAGGGAGCATATGAGGCACCTGGTCTCTTTAGACTTGTTTGTTGCTCTTGCTGTTCAATTGAAAGAGCATGAAGAATAGCGTCTTCTCGATTTGCATATTTTGCATTCTTTTTATAGTTGACAGTGTTTGATAATTCAGCACTTCTAATGAAGTCATCAAACTCAACAGATCAAAATGCTTGGACTCGTTTCGAACTCGCCAAGTTGAATCTTTGATTACAGTGTAAAATCTTTGATTACATGAAGGCCCCCAGGTCATTTATAAACATTCAACAAACAAGTGCATAAATTTCTCTCCAATTTCTCAGAATCTAGAATGAAAGGAGCCACAAAATACACAATTTATGTTCAAGCTACCAAGTCACGGTTTGCGTTTGCAAAGAACACAAGGCACAACTTTAAAGACCAGTCAACCAATTTCTATTTCAAAACACTTGTTCATACTAAAAAGTTAATCTTCTAGTTTTCTCTCTTCTGCTTCAACTTTTATTCAGAAAGCAGGGAATCATACAGAAAGATTCAAAGAAACAACTACATCAAACAAAGAACTTGAAGAAATTACGTTATGTTCTTCCCTGCAGGGTAGCAAAGCCTTGTTCTAAGATTTCAGCAAAAGCAATGATGCCAAAAGCAAAAAAAAAAAAAACTAAAAACCTAGAAAGAGATCACAAGATAAACAGCCAAGAAGGAAATAAGCACGAAGGGAACACCAATAGATGATGGTCGAAGCTTACACATAGCCATTTTCTTTGCCAAGAAGTTTGACAGCAGCCTTGGAATTGGAAGAAGGTTCGATTTTGCCTGGCTACATCGTCAACAAACAAGCTAAGTTTCTACACAGAATTCCAAACCACCAACGAAAACTAAAACATAGAAGTAGATAGTTATATCAGCAAAATAAATGGTCCTATGTTAGTAGATTGAGCCAAAAAACCTCAGAACGACTATATTAGTTAGGAAACAGAAATCAGGGAAACCAAAAGAGAAGCATAATTGATTCGGAAGAACGATTATAAACCTCAGAAGAGAAACTCATATCAGTAGGATTAAATCAAAATATCAATGTTAACAGAACAAACTAAGCACATGAGATTGGAACCAATCGCCAATAAGCATCATCAATAATAACTGGAATCAATAGAGAAACTATTGTCAAGCAATAAGAGTGTTCATGCTTTAAACATTCAAACCAATGTGGTCACGGTGGCAATGAGGCGATTGGATGATTTCCGATGGAGGGATCAAAGAAACAGTTGGGGAAGAGGTAATTCTGAGAACGATGACGGAGGTTGGTGAAGATGAATTGATGATGTCGTTTATTTGGGTGGGGTTTTTTTGGAGAAAAATTAGGCAGAGGAAGGGGACGACGTCGTTTGCTTCGTTTGGGGGGTTTGAGCTTTTAACCTAAAAAATTTAGGGTTAGTTATTGGGGGTTTTCACTTATTACACTGAAAAACTTATGTTCGGATGGTTTTTTGAGTTTGTTTTTTTGTATTGGGAATGTAAAAAGGTATATTGAAAATGTAAAAAGGTGTATTGGGAATGTAAAAAGGTATGCTGGGATGTGATAGATATTAATTAAAAATTCTGAAAAAATGAACGAAAAAACGAACCAAACAGTACACTGAATTTGTGAAATTTTGTTTTTGCCCCTAATAAGTGACTTAATATTGGCCGTTGGATCGTACCAATCTGATGGACGAGGTCGATTTGAAGGTGGCTCTGAATATTTCTTGGACATTTAATTTCTTGCCTACTGTGCCTTTATATTAAGTAGTAGTAGTAGTAGTAATAGTAGTAGTAGTATATAAGGACAGACGCCTTACTTAATTATTGAATTCAGATTCCTTCCGTCTTAGTTCATAGAATTTACGATTACATGAATTGTGTTATAAATATTTAATGTGGATGTCCACAAGTCAGAAGAGTTATACAAGGAAT